ACATAAGGATATTTATCATATTAGAAAACAATTTTTAAAATATGAAAAATAAATAAAAATTAAAAAATAAAAATAAAAAATAATAAATAATAAAATAAATAATAAATAAAAAAATATTAAAAAATTATAAACAATAATAAATAAAATAAAAAATAATGAAATAATGAAAATAATAAACAGATTTAAACTATAAATATGTATATATATATATATATACATGTATATATGTTTTTTATTTTGTTAATAAATTTAAATTAAATGATGCACTTATTTTGATATTGTTTATTATTTTTTATGATTTATTTTTTAGTATTTTTTATTATTGTTCATAATTTTTTAATATTTCCTTTTATTTATTATATATTTTTATTTATATATATATAAACTTATCCTAATACTATTAAAATGTTTTCAATATATATATTATAAATATTCTTTAAAAAAAAAATCAAAAATTTTAAGATGAAGCAAAAGTTTATTATTTACTTTTATTTAATTTATTCCAAATAGTTTACCCTCAATATTTATCTGAAAATTTTATAAATTTATCTTTAACCACGTTAAGTCTCATAACACAGCTAATATACTATTGAGGAACAGTATTATATAGCATGCACAATATGCTGTTAGGGGCGTTTAGACTCAGGGGGCAGCCGCTGTGGCATGCGAGGGAAGGCGTAGGGGCCTGTCCTCGTCGCATGCATGCCGCGTAATTCGCTAGCAACATTTGATTTTGATTTCGATTTCGATTTTCAATTCAATTTCGAGTTTCATTTACTGTCCGTATTTGAACTTCATGAATTTAATGTGTGCGCGACGCGGCTGCGCATACGCACTCGACGAATTTGATACGAGCTGAAAACCCAAGGCGAACAGATACGACACTTACATGGCGTATACGCAATCTCTTGCTTATTTATGACGTATACCACGCGTTGCGTGTAATTGACATTCGCACTGATTACTTCCTTATTTGGCGGCCCCGACTGACGCATATTCTGAATACTTTTGGATTTTGCTAGACTTGAAGGCAAAAGTGAGTGGAAAACACTTGAATATAAGAACATTTCTAGTCACGTATTTGAAAAGAGAAAATTTTTCTAATTGGACACGAAAATATATTGAGTCGATATAAATACTGTTTGTATTATTATTATTTTAACAAATTAGACATTTTATTTATGTCGGACTTTAATCCCCAATTAAAATATTTAATTTATGAATTTATTTAATTATCTATTTATTTCGTTGGTTTTTTGTTTATTTACTTAATTTTTTGAATAATTTAATAATTTATTTATTTATGTATTTATTTATTTGTTTCTTAAATTTTAATTTATTCATTTATTAAATATTTATTTATCTACCTATTTATTTATCTACTTATTTACGTTTTCATATTTATTCTTTATCTATAATTTTTTATTTATTAATATATTATTTTATTTACTGATTTATTTAAAATTTATTTCATTTCTAAAATTCAAAAAAGTTCCGTGAAAATCTCTTTAAAAATCAAGTAAAAACCGTAGTTCGGAACAGTTTTATTCGTATTATCAATCTTACAAAACACAAGTCAAGATCTTTAGGGTTTTATTTATTTATTATTATAGATAGCTGGGCCATTGCTGGGCTTTACTTATGCCAATCAAAATACTCAGAATATCCACAATACTCTGTATTGAGCGAATGTCAATTACAGGCAACGATTTATCGATTTTCAATGCTGCATTAAAACAAAAGACTTGAGCAAAAAACTTGTTACTTGCTGCATGCAAAAAGGTGAAAATATTATGTGCAATTGTTGTCTGCCTCCGTCCGTATCGCAGCTCACCTTTCCATGCCGCGCCTCACCTTGTGCGCAATAGAATTCAATGAAACAATTTTCTTAATTTTTAATTGCAGCTACGAGTCAATTTGATTTGTTGTTATTACAAATTTTGCATTGTTCTCGGCGCGACATCGACTCAAATCGTTATATATATATATAGATATACAGTGAAAGCTCTGCGAACGGACAGCTTAGATGGATTCTGAGCACGGTTTAGGCAGCTTAACAAAAAATCAGCATTTTTTTGAGCACTAATTAGTTAATTTTTTTATGTTTATTTCTTTGATTTATTAATATCAGTTTTAAAGGAAACTTTCTCTTAAAATTTAAAAGGCTGCAAGAAATTTAAAATTATCTACAATACGCGCCAATTTTAAGCCAAACTAATTGTTTTATAAAAACAATTCATTTTTATACTTTTTTGCCATTTTTGTTGGCATCTCTTTCGGGCCAAAGAATCTGTAATCCGCGCCAGAGAGCTTTCACTGTATCTCTTAAGCATTACTTCAATTGCGGTCTTTATTAATTATGCGCTTATTTATGATTGTTTTAAGTTAGCGATTTTTTTTTTTGTGTTTTTGCCCCTGGGCACACTTCAGTTTTTGCCTCGCAGCAACTTGAAAAACGATTAAAACGCTCAAAATCAACAACTAAAACAATAACAACAAACAAACTGAAGCTGTGCGCACGCTCGCTACAACAACAGCAACAACAACAGAAATAATAATAATAGTAAAAATCAACTTTAATGGCAAATAGATCGTGAGATTGGAAGAATTGGATGATGTCTGCCCAGGCGGATGTGCAGTGCGTGTATTTAAAACTTGATTAGCTTTGGGCTTTTGGGCTCTTAATAATATGGATAAAAGCAGAAGAAGCAACAACAACACGAACAACAACAACAACAACAACAGCAAGCGCTATCATCAAGGCCATCGTTGATGTAGCTTTGTAAATATTTACATAGATGCCACCAGGGAGATTGGCAGCGCTCAATGCCTGCTGCGGCATGGTCAAGGTCGGCTTGTGGCAGCCATCAATTGATATTTATTTTGTTGGGTTTCAGCAGCTGTAGATGAGCCAGAATTTGTCTTCAAGATAATAGCAATTGACGAAACGATGTACATTAAAAGTATATATGGTTATTTTTAGATAAGTAAATATTTCATATGGGTACTAACTAAACTGTTTTTCTCTCCCTCTCTCTTTACTTATTCCTGACTCTCCTTTAATCTCTCCCTCTCCCTCTCTCTCTCTCTCTCTCTCTCTCTCTTTCTCTCTCTCTCTATCTCTTCCTCTCACTCTCTCTTTCTGTCTATTTATCCGTTTCTCTCTCTTTTTCCCTCTCACACTACTTCTATCTCTATCTCTCATCATTTTATCTTCATTTTATTTGTCGACTAAATTTCAATTTCTTCATTCTCTCTCTCCCCCACTTTTTATTCCTCCCACACTCTACCTTACTCACTTGTTCTCCCTCTCCATTCCTCTCTCTATACACACACAACATTTCGTTAAATCTGCCAATTAAAAATGCTCAATTCCTTTTTGAGCCTCTTCCTTAAACGATTGGCTTAAGGCGAGCCTTTGAAGCAAAAACTATTCAGTATTTCCAATTTATATTCTGCATTTTCTGTAATTTTTAAACGTATGACTTTATCACTCTTTCTCTATCTTCCTCTGCTTCTTTTGACTGTCTTTCATCGTCCGCCTACTATGACGATTTACGCACTCTGTTTCTCTTTCGATTATGCTTTGTCTGTTATTCTTAAAGGTTTATACGATTTACAACACAATTAGAAAAAGGATGTGTAAGATTTTACTCTTAATTTCTATACTGTAAGGGTTTAAATGACTAAGTAATAATTTAAAAATATTAATAATATATATAAAAAATAAAAACAATTTATTCTATGGGCTTCCACAGACTCTCTGTATAATACCTAACATCGGCAATTCTGAATAGATCAACTCAAGTTGAAGAAAAGCAAACACACACTTTCGAGTGCCAAACAAATTTGATTCGTGGTGTTTATTTGTTTGATCATTGTTCAATTGTGTGTTTGTTTGTTTGCTTGCATTTGCTTTTCAATTAAAAGCTGAACATGAACAGCTTCTAACCTTTAGCAGGTTTCAAGTTGAAGTTTAATAACCTTAGGCCAAAGGTGGCAAGCCCCGAAGCCTTCAACTGGCGGCTTAACTACAAAGATCAGCCAGATTTAGTATCAATTGCCAGTTGGTAATTACCTCCTTTTTGTTTTTTCTTGTGTGGCTGCTGTAAATGAATTGGCCAAAAGTTCAAATGGTCAACTGGCAATTTGCTTGACCAAATGAATTATTGGTAAGGTCGCGACTCAGTTGAATATCGAATGGCTTAAAACGCAGAACCCATAACGAAATGGCAAAACAAATTCATTTACATGCACAACAATACGTCGTATTATTAAAGGTGGGCATATCATAATGGATTACCATAAATATGGTTATGAATGTTCTTTGGCATGCAGAACCTGGCATTAGAGTCGGACTGCCAATTAGCGAATGTGGCCAGCTGGAGGGCATTGGGCATTCGAGCGTGTAGTCCGAGTGCCGAAGGCCGAATGGGGCCGGGCAGACCCGATTATACAAAGACCAATTTAATTGGAGCATCATTGAAGCGCGTACAAAAATAATAACAAAAACAAAAGTTTCAAATGAAACTTTGTATGTGGCATGCCTGAGGTCACTTTCAGCTGTTAGTTATTGTGCAATTATTTATCTAGAAATCTATGTACATGTCTATTTTTTTAAAAATATTTTTAGCAGACGATCTAATCAATGTGCAGCAGCTGCAACAACAACAACAACAACGAGAGTAAGCATAATTGTTGTTCTAATCAGCGCTGCTCAGTTGCCAACTGCATGCAAAGTTCAGGGTTAACATGGGCTAAACACCTGCATTTGCCATGCACCCGCATTTTATAATTGTAAGCAAACAGCAGCATGCGCCTAATTAAAAACAAAAATATAGCTCTCAATTAAAATGTATATAAATATATGCATAACTAAATTGTTTTATTAATGCAGCTGCTGTAACAGTCAGTTCTGCCTTAACAGTGTTCTAGCAGTGGTTGGCAACGCGCAGGCACACAGTCTGGCAACGCCAAATACACACTGAGCAGCCGCAATGTCTATATAATTGTTATCGAAACAGCTGAGCTGGTGAGACTGCAAACGCAAACAATAAATTGCAAATAAAATTAAGCTAATTCACACATATTGCAAATAATGGAAATTGCGGATACCTATTACAGCAAAGATGAATACGTTGAAACGGTGCGTAGTAATTATGTGCCATAAATATAAACTGAAACTAATCAATTTGTTTCGCTCCGATGACCTCATCAATTGTTGCTTCCAGGCATCCGGCAATAAGGTGAGCCGCCACACGGTGCTCTGCGGCTCCCAGAATATTGTGCTCAATGGCAAGGTGATTGTACAGAGCGGGGCCATAATACGCGGCGATTTGGCCAATGTGCGTACCGGACGGTATTGTGTGATTAGCAAAAACTCTGTGATACGACCGCCCTATAAACAGTTTAGCAAAGGCATCGCCTTCTTTCCCATGCACATTGGCGATCATGTCTTTATAGGCGAGGGCGCTGTGGTCTCTGCGGCCATAATTGGTTCCTTTGTGTACATTGGCAAGAATGCCATCATCGTAAGTGGACAGCTTAAGCTTTAACAAGTTTTATAACACGTATATTAAATGGGTTTTGATTGATTCCAGGGTCGCCGCTGCACGCTCAAGGATTGCTGTGTTATTGAGGATGGCGCCGTGCTGCCGCCAGAAACAACAGTGTCCAGCTATATGCGCTACACGGCCAAGGGCACCATTGAGGGCGGTCAGGGTAATCCATATTTTGTGCCCGCCGCCATGCACGATGAGATGGTCAACTATACGAAGTCATTCTATGAGCATTTTGTGCGCACACCGGCACCGGCCAGTTAAGCACAATGAAACACATAATTTTGCACTCATAAAACCAAACTAATATTAAGTATTATATTTCATAAAATAAACGACATTTTAGTCAATCAATCCCGTATCGCAGTCGTAGGCCTCGTCGGCAATTTCAAAGATCACATAGCTCATGCCAGTCCGACGTGCAATCACAGCGGCTGTCTCCTCCGAGTTATTCTCCTTGCGCGCCTGCAAATTGCGATCCAGGAGCAGCACAGTGGCTGTATTGCGGCAATTGGAAACGGTTGCCGTAATATGCAAAGGCGTCTGCTGGCCATCCGACTCGGCGTTCACATCGGCGCCAAATTGCAGCAACAGCAGGGCGCAATCGGCATTGTTCCATTTGCAGGCCGAATGCAACGGTGTCCAGCCGAGTGCTGTGCGTGCGTTTGGATCTGCCTGATGCTGCAGCAACAGCTTGGCCATGTCGACGAAGTTGTTGTAGCAGGCGCGATGCAGGGGCGTGTAACCATCGTTGTCGCGCGAGTGGACACTGTCCGCGTCCAGTTGTAGGATTTCGCGAACCTCGCTAATGCGATTCTCACCGACGGCCCACAATATCATGCGTTCAATGCTGGCTGCATGTTAATCATTTCGTTATATTTTTCTTTTATGTATACTGTTTATTTGTACCTTGTGGATTTTTGTCCTCCTCGATGAGCTCGTCGGTGTCATCGTCCCAGCCGCTAACAAACATGCCGCGCGGCACCTTGGCATAGCGCAGCTTCTCCACTTGTGATTTTTCATCATCTGAATCGTAGTCGCCCATAATACTGAAACTTTATTTTTTAAATGCCGATTTGTTACTTTCCAATTAATAAATGTTGCCTTTGAAACAGATGTTTTGCTATCGATAGCATGTTGAAATCATCGTACTATCGATATATCTATGTTTCTCTGTGATTTTGCAGCACTGCAAATGCTAGCAGCAAGAAGCAGCAGCATCGTTGTTATTTATTTTTCTATCAACGCCTTTTGTTTACATTTTGTTCGTGCGCGCAATGTCCAATCCACAGGAGGAGCTTTTGCCACCCAATGCCGAAGACGACGAGCTAACACTGCCCAGGGCCAGCATCAATAAAATAATTAAAGAGCTGGTGCCCACGGTGCGCGTGGCCAACGAAAGTCGCGAACTGATACTCAATTGCTGTTCCGAATTCATACACCTGATCAGCTCCGAGGCGAACGAGGTGTGCAATCAGCGCAGCAAGAAAACAATCAATGCCGAGCATGTGCTCGAGGCACTCGATCGGCTCGGCTTTCGCGATTACAAACAGGAGGCCGAGGCGGTGCTGCACGATTGCAAGGAGGTGGCCGCCAAACGGCGCAGACAGAGCACACGCCTGGAAAACCTGGGCATACCCGAGGAGGAACTGCTGCGGCAGCAGCAGGAGCTGTTCGCCAAGGCGCGCGAGGAGCAGGCACGCGAAGAGCAACAACAATGGATGAGCATGCAGGCAGCCGCCGTGCAGCAGAGCAATGCGCTAATCCAGCGACAGCAGACGGATGCCGCCGGTGGCGGCGGGGGCAGCAGTGCTGGCTTCGTCAGCAAACCCAGTGAGGATGACGAAGATGATGACGACGATGACTACTAAACACAGCATGTGGTTGCAACGAGTTTATTTGCTTTGCTCTTAATGTATTTGTAATAATTTGTTATTAAACTATTGTCATAAGTCCAAACTCAGCTGATTGTGGCCTTCTCCTGCAGCTGAGCTTCAAGCTGTCTGCACAAACTTGACGGCACATGTGTGCCCGGCACATATTTGCCCAGTATTTCGGTGTGCTTTTGCCAGAACGCGGCGCCAATCAGATCCTCATGTATGGGCACTATCGCCTGCCTGCCCTTCTCCTGCTCTCCATCCTGCAGCAGCAGCCGCTTGCGCAGCAAGATCGTACCCTTGCGATACATGGCCGGCAAATTGTTGTAGTTAATGCCAAACTGCTGGAAGAGTAGCTCATTTTTGTCGGCGGAGAGTGTGCCGCGTAGCCGCTCCTCCGCCTGTTGATTGGTCAGACCCGACTCTAGCACTAGTTTCCAAAATGCCGTATTATACAGATTATTCACATGGACATCCGCCTGCCGCCAGCTCAGATAGTCGCGCAGATTCTCATCCGACGGATAGAGCACAATACGGCCATCGAAGCAGGGCGCATAGCACAGCGGCTGCTGCATCCATTGTGGCCAGCTGAGCACATAGCTGCTGGAGAACATGCTCGTCACGTAGCTCAGCAGCTTGGCGGCGCGTCGCTTAAAGGCTGTCGTATCCTTGCGAAAGACAAACGAATATTCATCGCTCTGGCCGTAGCCCAGCACAATGTCCCGGAACTCCTGCATGACTGCAATCCCGGCGGCATTCATCACATTCAGCGCTGCACGTGGTTACATTTTCATTCCATTATTTGTTCTTATTTTTATTTTGCAATTCAATTCGGGTAGTGTGCTCACCATTCTCATCGTTGGGCTTTTCGAATTTGTGCGCATTGGCAAACTTGTGAAATTTCTTGCCATCGATGCGTATCACAATCCACACATTTGGCAATATTCTGTCGTCCTGTTCGTAGGACTTAACGTATTCATATCTGCTGCAGGCCATGCTGCGTTTGTCGAGCGCTATTCCGCGTTTATTCGTAAGCAAAAGTTTGAGCACAGCGCGATTAAATGCACGGAAATGCATTTAAATTATTTACTTTTGCCGCATGTGAAACAGGTGTTGGCAATGTACAAGGTAACGCATGTTAGCTGAACTGTTGTGACGTCACGACCACGACCACAAACATGTTAAGTACAAATGCTCATTTAAACAAGTTCCTGGTGCTTTAAATGTTTTAAAATCAACATAGAATTCATAGATTGAAATAACGAACGGGAAAAATAAGTGTGCTGATCATAGTTTGCTCAAAACCGAGCCTCTCGTATAATCGAGATGTAAATGTTGTACTTTTTCATCTCTTCAATTACTTGTATGTTTTGTTTACTATCTTTACTTTTTTAGGCTCCTGAAGCAATCTAGACCGTTGTGCAACACTAGCAGAGACGATAACAATCGATAGGCAGCCTCAATATTTGAACAGCTGTTGCAGAGTATCGCGGCCAGATTTTCCACTATTCAGCGGCGGCCGCACAAAATTGCATTGTGTTATAATAAAATGAGTGTTAATTATGAAAAAAATGTGATGGACGAAGAATTTGCGCCAGTCAAATTATCAGACGATGAGGAAAGCGAAGGTAATGCCAACACAGAACCAAATGCGGCAACGGCAGCTACAAAACAGCCAGCGACTACACAAAACAGCTCGGACAACGACGATGCAGAGGCAACAGCTGCCGATGATGGCGATGGAGGGAGGCATTCAATCGGTGGCGCCGCCAACACACATGTTGTTGCGCATCACTACAACGAGCTGAAGGAGGCCGGACGCAAGGAGCGCCACAAGTCGAAAATCTATTTTATGCGCAACTTTAACAACTGGATCAAGAGCCAGTTGATCAACGAGTTTATGGCATTAATTAAGCAACAGCAGCGCGTTGGCGATGCACTGCGCGTCCTGGACATGTGCTGCGGCAAAGGCGGGGATCTGCTCAAATGGGATAAAGCCCAAATATCGCATTTAATATGCACAGACATCGCCGAGGTATCGGTGGAGCAATGCCAGCGTCGCTATCAGGACATATTGCAGCGTGCGGAGAGATCAAAGTATGCGCACAAGTTCACAGCCGAATTTTTTGCCTGCGACTCGACAATGGTTCGTCTGCGTGAACGCTATAAGGATGCGTCTTTGCAATTGAATCTGGTCTCGTGCCAGTTTGCCTTTCACTATTGCTTCGAGTCGCTCATGCAGGCCGACTGCATGATGCGCAACGCAGCCGAGTGCCTGCAGCCGGGTGGCTATTTTATAGCTACCATACCGGATGCCTATGAGATTATTAGGAGATTAAAAGCGGCCGGACCGAATGCACGTCGATTTGGCAACGATGTCTATAGCATTGAATTTGAATGCGATACGGAGTCGTTGCCGCTTTTCGGTGCCAAATATCAGTTCCATATGGAGGGCGTTGTCGATTGTCCCGAGTTCTTGGTACATTTTCCAACTCTGGTCAAACTGGGTCGCCGGCATGGACTGCAGCTGGTCAGGCGCAGCACATTTGCCGACTATTTTAGGGAAACGATGTCCCAGGGCCGCCAGCTGCTGCAGCGCATGTCTGGCTTGGAATCGGTCCAACCCCATCGCTGTGGCAGCGATGACCAATTCGAGCATGTGCGCCGAGTCCTTGGCACACAGCGCTCTCGACCCGTGGGCACGCTCTCCAAATCCGAATGGGAAGCAACAAGTGAGTACTTAACAAATATCGCAGCGATCCAACTACTCATATATACATATTTATTTTCAGCACTTTATCTGGTTTGTGCCTTCAAGAAATGCAAAAACAGCTGGGATGCCAACGGCAAGCCTCTGTTCGAGTTTGACGACTGATGATTCCCATAAGACGCGCGTATATCTATACTTATATATATACATATATATATATATATATATACTAATCGCATCATATGTTTCGTTCAAATACCGGGTTTTTTTTTGTAATGGTTTGAATTTAGAACATACTCAGCATAATCGGAGCATCTATTTTAAGTTGAAGAGTGTATTTGGAAGCTTTTAACGTTAATATTAAAAAGTTGCAGTTAAACAACGAAAACATTACAAAAGTATTAAAATGATTAGCAAAAGTTCGAATGTACAAGAGAGTATCGAAATTTTCGGTACTTCCACGTTAAAAATATTAAATAACATTTAAGGAACATCATAATAATATCGGAATTGCTGAGTTTAATTAAAATATTTGGAAAATTAAAATAGTTATTTACACAAGAACTTTTTTTTCGGCTATAGATTATACGATATAGTAATTCGATCCGGCTGACTACGAAACATCGCAACTTTAAATCAGAAACTAGTTGACAAAGAAACAGATTGAAAAATATGTAGAATTTATATATCCATTCATATCTGGTGAAATCGTTATATAGTAGGGTTTATAAAAAAAAAAAATGTTGACTTGTTAAGGGCCAGATCCCGCTCTTTCCCATAATTTTATCAACAGTGGCCTGATTATCGTGCGGAATAGCAATTTGCAATTTGATTTGATCTCTAGAATTGATTCTACATCTAATATTTGTCAGATTTGAAAGAGATTTTATACCAACTTCTTATTTTGGGACAATAATAAAATGATATTTGAAATCGTATAAAACTATTTTTTTTTTACATATTTTTCTTTAAATCTTTATAGAATTTCTTAGAACGTTTATATATATTTGAAAACATTAAATAAAATTGCTTTTGTTATACATTTCAACTTCGAATTTGCGAAAATCTATTGTTCAACCCACGTCACATAGACAATACCTGCGCCATGCTCTCTACATTTGACCAGCTTTGATAACGAAGCTTTCGGCCAACGAATTTCGAAACTGGAAGTCTTTGGGCCATTACCGAAAGCTCAATGGAAGTACGAGGGGTATATGGACACGGACCATCCGAGAGTGGAAGAGAGCGCGAGAGTAAAGAGAAAGAGAGCGCACAGCTGTTGCTTTCACAGCGACGGCGCCATTGAAGGACAACGGGCAAAGGTTAGTCCTGACGTTTACGTCGCCGGGTCGTGCCCGAGACCGATTACCAAGTGTGCGAGCCCGTGCCTGGCATTCAATGCATCAATGAATTATTATAGCTCAAGTGTAAATAAATATTTGATAACAAAAACGAGTAGGTACAAATGAGTATGAGGCAAATAAAGGCATAAATTACGCCCATTGATTGGTTGCTGAAGGCAGCAAAACGGATAAATGTGTGTGAGAGAGACAAGGATCTCAGAAACACACACACACACACACACAACTTACGCTCTTGGTTATTTTTCTCTCGCTCTCTCTCTCTCACTCCGTCTCTTCCTCTCTTTGTCCGTTTGCTTCTCTTTGTGTAGTGCTTTGCCCATCTTCAAGTTCTTGTCAGATAATTTCATTATTTAAAGTTTTGCTCATAAAAATAAACTTTGGGCGTAAAGTTTAAATTTGTTTTGCACACATATGCAAGCGCACACCCATACCCACACATACCTGCATGTTGTTTACAACAGAGCAGCACTTGTGTGAGTGTGTGTGTGTGTGTCCGCTACGCTTTGTTTAAAGTAGAACGTGCGTATTTAGAAGGCAAACAACAAAACTGTTTACACACACACAGAGGCACACAGCACGGCTCGTGGCGCAGCATTGGCTCCCCCTTGCCTCTGGGCACCTGCTACCCCTCGCCACGACGCGCTGTGCACTGATTGGCCCTAATGAATCTTTTTGTTACCTCCTCGTGCAGCCGCCTGCGCATTGTTCCATGCGGTCTATGCAAATTAGTTCACTTTTAACCCAAATGCTCGCCACCAGGTTGCACAAAACATTTGCACCTGATGAAATCTACCCAAATGATTAAAAAGCCCAAATGGTTGTGAATAAATGAATTTAAGAAGCGAAAGCCCTAGGTTTATGGTCAAAATCAGCAAATATTAAAAAAAAAGTTTATAATTAAAAATTAAAATATTTGATCGTCAAATTTGGATTCTTTTGATTTTCAAAGCGTATTTCAATTAACAAGAGATCTATTTTGTTAAATACACTACACACATTTTATATATATTACATTTTTTATGAATTTTATATTATATTAAATTATCAGCATCTTTGTTTAATACAAAAGAACCATTTAATCTGTATTTAAAAATCCCTATACTATCCTATCCAGAAAAATAACCCTCGAATGGAATAAGCGGGTTATTAATTAATTAATAACTTCTGTGTGTTTTAAGCGAGGCGCCAATTAGATAAAATTTTAATTTTTAATTAATTTTATATTCATTTTATAAAAAATATTGAACTAATTGGACTTGGGATCAAGATAAAATACGAATTTGCAGTGCAGGACTAATTCACTTACGTTCGAAATATAGGTGGAAACTAACTATATAATGCAAAAATTCAACAAAATTGTTATTGAAGAAATGTTAAAAAGAAGGAAAATTCTTTAACAGAAATATAAACTTAACAATAATAAATAATATTACATTCAATTTAAAAACAAACTTGTGTGAAATCTATTTTTAATCATTTTAAGGTCTAGATAAACTTAAATATCAATTAACTGATGTACTATGTTTGTCTAATCAATTTCCTGACTTTTTCATGAAATTGGAATAACATTTTCTCAAGCTGGAATAACATTTTCTTAAGTTGGAATAACATAAAACACACTGAAGCTGCAGCTGACAGCAACTAGGATATGGGTTAAATCATTTTGCCACAATGGCTTGTCGGGCTGCTGAGCTCTGCTGCAATATGTGTGACGTGCATTGTGTGTGTGTGTGTGTGTGTGTGTGTGTGTGTGTGTGTGTGTGTGCGTGTGTATCTTTTGTGTGTCGTTGGCCACTGACAGTCAGCCAGGTGGGTAGGCAAAATGAGTGGCCTTACATTACGTATACGCAGTGTGTACAAACAAAATACACACCGCAATGTTTATTTTGCAAGCCTGTCGAGGCAAGCGAGCGAATAAGTGTCTGTGTGTCACTGCGTGTGTGTGCAACTCATAAAATGCATGTGTATGGGTGTGTGTGTGTGTGTAACGGCTTGTGTTTATTCAACCGCATGGAACAATGTGAAAAACGCATGCCAGGCATTTGCCTTTGTTGTACCCCCTTTAGCCGCCGCTGCCTCTTATGGCCCCTGAACGCTATGCTAAACTTTTCACAAGGATTGCCCCCAGGGCAAGGGCTCAAGGGGGCGCTGCTTAGGCACAAGGCGTGCAACAATTTAAAAAGATATGCGAATGTGTGTGTGCGTGTGTAGGTTTGTGGGTGTGCACAGGGACTAGAAGAATGAGCCGATCCGAGCTGAGCGCATGTTAATCTTTTGTGGTTCTTGTCCAAAAAGCAAACTTGAACTTTGCCATCAATGTATGAATGATTCATTCCATTCATGATTGATATGAATAATAACAGTGACGTTCGCAAAAGAAAAAGAAGAAACTTTCGGAAAGTTTTAAGAAAACAATCAGTTATCTGAGCAGCTTATGATGTCATATGTCAAATCAAATGCTTTTATATTTATATTCTAGTATTCGAAATTAAGCTTTGCACCCCTTTAAATGACTTTCAATAGAAAATGTTGAAGGTTTTTTTTGCAATCAAAAGAGGAGTTCCTTATAGGAATACATGCTTTCTTCTGATATGTATGTACATGTACATATGTATATGCATAACTATCTGTGTATGCATATGTACATATTAGATGTATTACGAAAACTCCATATAATAATGACTCCATAATACAACAATATTATTAACTTAGCCCGTTGGCCAAAGTAAATTAGAAGTTTATAAGAATAAACATTTATATTTATAGTAATACTTATAATTAAAATAAAATATATAATATTTATTCTTATACAATTAATAATCTAAGTCAAGTTTTTCTTTTATCTCTACCCTCAAGATCTTTTAGGTCGATATCTTAAATATTTACTGTATCTAACAAGGCCTAAGTTCTCACTATCTATATTTTGTCATAAAATGCGTAAATGTGTAGAAGGAAGCATATCCGACCCAATTAAATCTATATATTTTATATGCGGTTCGTCTGTCTCTCATATATGAACTCGAAAGTTTGTTGAGGTTCGTGTTCTGTCGGCACCGGCCGGTTCGAACTACTAAATCATAATGCAAGTTCTTATATGGCTCGTTTTTTTGTGGAATACGAAATAAATAGATGCACAATTTGTCATTCATTTCTCAGTTGCATTTCGCCATGCGATAACTTTGGCTAAATAATGCATAAGATGAGAGTTTGCATTGATTTGCTTTCGGCCCGTGTCGCTTATTTATTATGCAAATGTGCCAGTCACAATCCAGTTGTGATTCCTTGCGGAATTTCAATTGTGCATGCGTATACGTAATGCTTTGCTTTGGCATACGTGTACGTTCTGTAATTACACACAGAGTTGCTTATGATTTATTCAGTGCAATTAGCAAAACTAATTGGCTACACCGGAAACGTATCGATTTAAAATTCAATAACTTTGAGCCCTTGATAAGCTCATCAAATATGCACGTGCCCGTGTGTAGTTGGGGGTCCCTCTTCCTTTCCTTTATTTCCTTCTTTTTTTTTGGCTCAAGGCGTGGCACTTGGGTATTAGCTGGCAAACCATAAAGTTGTTTTCTTCTTTGGTTGTTGTGAAGTGCACACACGACAAAAGGTCAACTTGGCAAGTGAGTTAAATGACAAGGACCTCACCTTGTCCATGTCCGTGTGGGTACGTGTGTGTATGTATGGGTGTGTGTGTGTGTGTGTGTATAGCCGCGTGCCTGGCAGCGGCAACATTGTTGCCTGTGCGTGTTTGCATGTTTGACTGTATTACGACCCCAAAACTTTGGCATGCAATGCCACGCCAGGCCAGGCCAGGCCCGACCATGCCAGGCCCGGCCAGGCCAGGCCAATAATAATGGCTTTCGCTTTCAAAACAAACGCCGCCTGACATTGGCCATAAGTTAAAGCCAATCGTCCTTGGCCATAACGCGCTCTGTTCTTCAATTTTAGCGGCCATTTGATAACTCCATAGAAAGAGGCAAACCAAAAAAAAAAGAAAAGAAAAACGCCGGTCACACAGGCGAAAGGACTCAAACGCCCAGAGCCTGCTGGCCAAGTGGCCTCTAGTCATAATTGCGGTGCACACACAATTGACAGTTATCAACTTCGCGCCCACTAAAAATCAAACTTTACCAACACTCACGCATTTGCCTAGCTGGAACTGAAGCAGTTGGCAGCGACGCCTTCCAGTCGCTCAATTGAAAGCTTGCTGCTCAGGAAAGCTCCTGATGCCCGCTGCCTGCTGCTGGTGTCTGTTTGCGCTTGGCTCAAGCCAAATGTCGGCTGTGTGTGAATGTCAGTCATGGAGTTCCAGTCGTCGGATACATGTGGAACGCAGCGAATACAAAACAGTGCGCCTCGCCCCCAAATACAATGCGAAAAAGTTTTTTACAAAAATTGTGTATAAAACAAGCCAACTTAACTACACCCCAGTGCGTGTGTGTGTGCATGTGTGTGTGTCTGCACATTTAATTCGCTAGAAATTTAAAAATGTTTACTAAACACGTGCCAGTGTGCGAAACGTTGCAAAAATTCTACAAAATTTATGCATGAAACAAACAAGAAAT